GTGCTTTTGCATCTAGTGTGCCTGTCGTTGTATATATCCCTGGCCTGACTTCTAGACTATATATGTAGAAGTCGCTACTATTCAACGATTATCATAATGTTCCTTAGCAATTACATCTGCTTATATATAACCTATAGTGAGTACGTAGTATACGATAGAGGACTATGTGAGAGCGTAGAATGAAAAACAACTAATATCACATTATGCGCAGACCAGAGGCAAGCAGATATAAAATATTTGTTGTGCGTGTTGGGTTGTGTAATAAATTCAAATAAATATAAGGAAAAAAAACTAAACTAAAAGTTAGTGCGCGGCGGGGGCGGCGGGGGGGGAGGGAGGGAGGAGTGTGGGGGAGGTGCATTCACCATAACTGTTTCTCTCTTTTCGGGTTGTTTTTAAAATAAATTTTTTATATAAAATATCGTGTCCCATTCTTTTTTTTGGGTGGGGGGATAGGGTTACACTGGTGGGATATGTATTTTAGTCTTAATTTTGCAAACTTAAAAGCAATAAAATCAATTCCGAGGGGCCATTGCATACAAGCGGGGCTATTGACATTCCAGATTTACTGGCTGAATACTAAGTCCTCTAGGGGGCCGCACCGCCAGAGCTGTAGCTGACCTGTGCGTTGTTCCCGTCTTGGGTGATCTGTATGGACGTTGACGTCATCGCCGGACCATCGAGAGTGGACATCTCGCTGACCCCTTCGTCCACGGACGGCTTCTCCAGGACCGCAGGATGAACGGCGTTTTTCTTACCTCCGCCGCCACCACCACCACCGCCGCCGGATTTTTTCTTCTTCTTCTCGCCGTCCTTCTTTCCATCCGAGGCATTTTTCTTGCCCTTGGCTTTCTTGGAGGATCCCTCGCCCTCGTCCAGGTCTGACTCGTCAGACTCGGCTTCCTCGGGTTTGTCCTCCTCACCTTTCAACAGGGAAGATTTTAAGGACTCGCAAGGCAGACTTTCGTACAAACCCGTCCGGAGCTGTTTGTTGGTAGCCACGTAGATTATAGGATTGAGGAGGCCTGAGGGGAGAGATAAGCAGACGTATACAGACAATATAAAGTTGCGTTTTGTTAGCTATAGCCACTGTATTTATTTAGTTATTTATTTACTTTTTGATTTTTTAATTTTTAAAATTTGTTTATTTATTTATTTATCCCTGGAAAAGAGGTGGGGGGGGGGGGGGGGGGACGTATAATCACGAATAACTACTTTTTAGTTGTCTAGTTTAGTTCAATCTTCAATTTCTCACCAACTGAAACGAGCTGAAGCAGTCTTTCATTAAAAAAAACAACCTTTTTACATGATTTTACGCCCCCCTCCTTAAAATATACACAGTAAAATATATATATATATATATATATATATATATATATATATTAAAAATACTTTTGTGTTGATCAGCGGCGTGTTTATTTTTTTTTTGTGGCTAGCTTTTGAAGGATGGAGGAGGGGGATCGGACAATTCGTTACGAAAACTATTCTTTTGGAAGGATTTACGGGGTTTTGTAGAAACGCAGGTTAATGCACTTGTGTTCGAAATCTTCTTCAGGATTAGGTTTAGTGAAATCCATCTTTTAAAATTTTTTCTGTGAATTCATTTATTCTTGTTTTAAGTCAACATGCCCGTAAAGAGATTCAACTGAGTTTGGGCGCATCACTATTGACTAAAGAAACGAATGTATGTCATGTGTGCTTGAAAGTAAGGAAGGGCTAGCGGAACCATCATCATCATCATCATCATCATCATCATCATCATCATCATCATCATCATCATCATCATCATCATCATCATCATCATCATCATCATCATCATCATCATCATCATCATCATCATCATCATCATCATCATCATCATCATCATCATCATCATTATCATCATCGTAAAAACTGACAATAATAATAACAACTACGACATTGGCACAAAAACAGCGCAGCAGAAACAAAAACAACAACAACAACAACAATAACAACGACAACAATAACAGCAGTTCTGCGTTGCAGGTAATCTCCATACCGTACGAAAAAGTAATAATCTATTCAGACACAAAATATTATCAGAGAGCTCCCATCTCTTAAAAAAGACTAGTTTATGCTTTAAAGGTTTAGGTTTCAGGTAACACCATAGACACTCAGTTAACGAACACAAGTGAGTCCGTACAAAAACCGATTATATTAGATTTTGATTTATTGTTACGTCTGCACCCTCGCACAGTTATCAGAGCCGAAGGAAAATAAAGAAACAAAACAAAACAAAACAAAACAAAACAAAACAAACATTCACCAAAGAACAAAACCAAAACCAAACAGATAGATAGATAGATAGATAGATAGATAGATAGATAGATAGATAGATAGATAGACAGACAGATAGATAGATAGATAGATAGATAGATAGATCGATAGATAGATAGATTGTTGCTAGAACAGGACAGGGATTTTGAGGGGGGAATCATGGGACATCATAAAGACATCCCACCTCTCTAAGCACTCTACGAACAAACAAGCAGAAACAAAAACACCTTCACAACGAAATCATAGGGTAAGAAAGAGTACTGGGAGAGAGACAGACACAAAGGAAGAACGCAAAACATAGACTTAGTGAGGGACAGACAGTTAAAAAGAACGAGACAGACCGAGAGAGAGAGAGAGAGAGAGAGAGAGAGAGAGAGAGAGAGAGAGAGAGAGAAAGATAGAGAGAGAGAGAGTGAGAGAGAGAGAGAGGGGGGGAGAGAGAGTGAGAGAGATAGACAAACAGACAGACAGACAGGCAGACAGACAGACAGGCGGACAGAGACAGAAACAGAGAGACAGAGAAAGAGAGACAGAAGGAGGGAGATGGGGAGAGAAGGAGTGTGTTTGAGAGATGTTAA